CCCTGTTGCCTCGCTCAGGACGGTTCCGTCCCAGCAGCTGAATGGCTGCTGCTCTGAAGGCCCGCGAGGGCACACAGGTGCCAACGCTCAGGTCCACCCGGGATGCTCTGGTCCAGCTCCGCCATTTTGAGACAAACCACCGTTGCGGAACTGCTTGAAGGAAAGGGGAAAGGCAGGCGGAGCGAGAGAGCGCGCGTGCAGGAGGAAGGTAATGAGATCCCACTGCCCCCAAAGACAGAACTCTAATTTTTATGAGCATTTAAATGATAATACATCATCCTAATGATCCACTTTGAAAATGATTATTGTTTCATATTACTTAGGTGTAAAACTGTAAGCACTGCATAATTAGGGCCCGGGTGCTATAAACTAATAGTGAGTCCGTTTGAACAAAATGAAGGTAATATAATTATGGGAAAGACACTATTGTTAAAACAGGGGCCCTTGAATACCCCAGGAGGAGTGCTAATCTAGCCAGGAAATGATGGTGCTCTGACAGGCTAACGAGGGCCTTAATTAAGTATGAAGAACTGCCGAGCAAATGGAGGAAGAAACCTCCATTTTGTTGTCCAAAGGGCTCCCACTGCCAGGGCTGATCTCTCCCTCCTAGCAAGCTGGAGAAAACCCCGGGCGGAAGCAGCCATCCCTCCCTGTCTGGGTCAGGATCAGAGGCTGCAGTTGCCACCCCCTTCCCAGCCATCTTTCAGACTGGAGTTGGGGGGCGGGGGGGGGGGGAGGGGGGGGGTGGGGGGGGCGCTGGAGCAAGCCAAACCTGTTAAGATGGCTGTAGCTTTTTTACAGTGTGCATGAATATATATTTTCCTCCAATCTTAATTTAGTTTCAGAGTTTAAGAGGGGAGGGGAGCAGCTGTGCAGGAGCAGAGTGTGGAAGGAATGCATTGCATGGAACCAAGTGACCTCCAACGCTTTACTTTTCAGGTTAACAAAGGTGTAATAACACACTCTGGAAAATTAATGTAATGACTGGTACCTTTGTAAATGTAAGCAGCAGTGTTTATGAGTTGACTCCAATTTTATTTTTGCATTTCCCCCTTCCCATTGAGAAGAGTTTTTAAAATAGTGATTAAAAAGTAACACGTATGAGGTGGTACCTTTAAATGCAGCTGCTAACATAGCCACTGCACCCTCCACGGGGTGGCCAGCCAGCAGAACGTGGCAGCTCCACATGCCACCACCAGATTTGCCTACAGGACACCAGTGGCACCATCATCAGTGGCACAGGCTCTGCTACTGCAAGTGGGTTTGCATCAATGCAAATCTAGGCAGCCCCTTCCCTCTCTGAAGGGAAGAGGGGAAAGGCGGCCTCCCCCCAGGGCAGCTGGACCCACCCACAAATTCAGGAGAAGGTCCCTCTTGAGCCTCTGGCCAGGGCCCAAAGCCCCAGAAGGGCCAGGCCAGGCGTTTGAACACCCGGTTCACCTGCTCCAGGGAGCCACGAGAGGGCCACAAATGAAAGGGGGTAGACAGATCAATAACCCATTAAAGAAACTGAGAAGGGATGGGCTAGGAGAACAAAGCTTGGCAAGACGAAGGTCAAAACCAGGAGGACGGAGGTAAAATGGTCCATGGCCCAAGAACATGTGCACGGCTCCACTCCTCTTGGCTCTTGGCTCCCCTCAGGGAGCAGCTTCTCTGCCCACGAGAAGAGGGCCACCTGGAGCACAAGGACACCACGAGCAGGGGCAAACCCTGGCCCCTTCCCCACTCCTACAAGGGCAGAGCGTGTTTCCAGCGCCCAAGACAAGCCTGTCGGAGTCAGCGCCTGCAGTCAGGCTGGGCCAATTCTTTTTTGGCAACTGACCAGCTACTAAAGAAAGGGCTAGTCATCAGTGCTTGTCTTAAGGGCATGGACTGGACTCATTCTGTGGTTTCTCCTTTTTTGAAATGATGTGCTCAATTTCATTCTGCCTTAGGAGCTGATTTTGCTCTGAATTTAAATGGTTTACTTGCTTGCATTGGAAGTGTTAGGCATCAGTGGGAGCCCTACCTTGGGCAGAAAGGCAGGGCAGGCCTCACCCCCAAGGCCTTAGGACCTCCCAAGCGGGTCAGCACTCACCGTCCTCCAAGGTGGTGGCATTAATCTCGCTGGATGAAGGGCCAGTGCCCGCTCGGTTAAAGGCCTGCACCACCACGCCATACTGGGCAAACTTCTTCAGATTGTCCAGGGTGTAGACTTCACTGTCCCCAGTGGCTTTCATCTCCACAATGCTGTACTGCCCATTGCTCCCAGGGCTATTTTCCCGGTAGCCAATTTGGTAGCCACGGATAACCCCATTCTGGAGTTCCTTCTTTGGGGCCTGTGGAGATGGAGAGGGGCATAGAAACACTGAATGGCACTGGTGGTCATGTATGGGCACAAGAGTGTGAATAAGCCACCGAGCACAACTGGGAGCCAGGCATGTCCCCGTGGGGGAGAAGGATTCTCCTTCCCCTCTTTGGCAACCAGTCTATGGCATGGGTTTATCACATGCATTTGTCAAGCTGCTGAGGTCAGTCCCATCTTCAACCACTGGCTTGTGCTAGATAAACTGGTGAATGCTGTACTGGTAGAGGAACCTGGCTGATGACATACATCAATGGGCTCAAGAACGGATCATCTGCTTCTCCAGCAGAAGACTCCACCCTAGTCAATCTCCGGGCCTGCATCTTTCTGAGAATTTTAAAAGCATGGTTCTGGCGTGACAGTAGTAGCGGAGAGCAAACCCCCGCCTCTCCCCTGGCCTGCTGCAGACTTGACTGTGCCACCATCTTGTCAACTTCACACTTTTCAACTGTGCATTGTTAACTCAAAGAGATCTAACATAGTTTTCTCTGAGAGAGGAAAGGTGGCTTTTAAAAAAGAGAGAGGAAGACAACAACAGCAGAATACACACACCAACACACCTTCCTGCTACAGCAGGTACAGCAGAAGCTACCCGAGAGCAAGTTGGGCCAACCATCCGGTTCCATGGAGTCTGCCGGGTCAGCAGCAGGAGGCCCATCTGTCTGCGATGGTTACCTTCTCACATTCAGATAAAGATGCCAGCAATGAGGGGCCCACGACCCTCTGGATGCAAAAGGCACTTTTTGCCACTGAGCTATAGCCCACCGTTGGAAGAGATCAGAGGCTGCACCGGCCACTGCTCAAGGCTTGCAAGCCAGCCTATAGGCTGCCGGGCGGCCTTTGTCCACTGCTCACACTCCAAAGGTCCAGAGGAAGAGCACAGAGGCAGGCTCCCTCTTTCTGCTCTCTGGATTCCTATTTGCCTCTGAAGACCATCAGCAAAGTGGGGAGGGGGAGGGAACAAGGGACCATGGCTGGGGGGTCCTTCACCCTCAATGGTTCCCTTTTCCATAGGTTGACTTCCTTCCTTTCCTGGCAGAAGAGGACAGACCCCCTCCAAAGCTCTGGCGCTGGCTGGGGGTCCTTGGAAACAGGAGCAACACTCTCTCCTGTTAAAAGAGTCCCCCTCCTTGAGGCCCTTGCCTCTCTGTGCTCGACTGGCAACAGACCCAGGGCAACAGAGGGGGCTGAGAGGGACATTTTCCTATCCTTTAGTCTCTGTGGGCAGTCCTAAAGCAGGAAGCTTTCGGATCAGAGATACCAGGAGGATCCCAGGCACCACTGAAGAGGTTGGGAGTTACAGGAACTGGTCAGGAAGAGTTCCAAGGTTAAACGAATAACCCCAGGAGGGTTACGCTCTCTCTCTCTCTCTCTCTCTCTCTCTCTCTCTCTCTCTCTCTCTCTCTCTCTCTCTCTCTCTCTCTCTCTCTCTCTCTCTCTCGCACACACACACACACACACACAATGAGAGAGAGAGAGAGATTGAGAGAGCTGCCAGCCTTAAAATGCTGGAGGAGGCCAGGTCTAAATCGATCTTGACAATATTTCTTTGACGAATTAACAAATCAATAGAGCTGATTGCAAATTTATGTTACAAAGCTGGAGTGATCCATCTTGCTGAAATTGCCTTAAAACTGAATGACTTATGTTTCAAGCAAATCTTATTTTTCATTAATCTGTTTTTCATTGCAGAAAAGGCTGCTGGTGAGGGGGAATAAGCAAGAGATGTCAGGACCCTAAATATACTGACTGGCCATTTCATTCTGACTCCTAACTCACTGATCAATTTTGTTTTTCATCATATGGCTTCTGGAAGATAGAGCATAGTCTAAACCTTTATCAGGCTGTATCAGCCTGAGCGAAGAAGTCACAGGCAAACCACCTGAAACTTCCTGCACCTGCCCTCCCCTTTTACCTCCTGCTGGCCCTGATTCTGGGCCCGGAACTTCTCTGTGAGGCAGGACCAGAGCACGGAAAAGAGTCTGCAGCTGGCAGCTTCCTTCCAAGGAGAGAACACCCAGACGAGTCTCTTGGGTTACAAGGTACAACATGGGACTCCATCCAGAAAGATGGCAGGCCCTCAAGCCTCCCCTCAGCTGGGGCTGACTGCAGGGAGGATGTGAAGAAGAGGCAGAGAAGGCGGGCAAGCACACCTGAGTCCATGCAAAAAACAACCCGGAGGCCAGGCATGCACGTTATGTGGCAGCAAAGGCAAGGATTTCACGCTGTGCCCAGTGTATGCTTTGCCATTCCACTGCTTCTGGCCCATTCCAGTTGCAGACTTTGGTCCTGCCAGGGGGCCTATCCTGGCCCAGTTGCCACAGTGGTGCACAAGCCCTTCTTGAACCTCTGCTCCCCACCACCACTCACTCAGCTGGTGCAGGCAGCCAGGTCAGGAGGAAGAGGATGAGTGTGCAAGCCCCTTCCTCTTTGCCCCCTACATGCCCTGAGAGGAGCCCGGAGCCATGCAGCAGCCGTAGCAACCGCCGTCCCAAATAAGGGGCATTTCCTCCCAAAGAAACCATTGCATGCTGGAAGCCACAAGCAGGGCTACATCTGCAGGGAGGAGGCAACCCCCACAACCAGCTCTGGCCGGTCTCTGGCCAGCAGCCTCCCACATGAGCAGGTGAGCCCACAAAGGGGTCCACAAAGAGCTTCCTGCATCTTTCACAGGCAACAAAGCCACAACTGGAAACTTGGTTGTCTGCAGAGCCACTCACTGCCCGCAGAAACCACAGGCAGGCAGGCAGTCCTTGCCAAAGGGTTGCAGGGAAACTGGGGGGAGGGGTGCTCCCCCCCAAGAGGGTCTGAGGTAGTCTCTTCCTGTGCTGTCTTCCGCGAGGGAGGTGGGGCCACCACCTGTGAAGCCCTGCGGCACCAGGTCATTCACCTGCCACAGTCCAATTCAGCCTCCTATGCCTGTTCCTTCTCGTAATTTTACTGTTTGCATGTTTTAATTGTCCTTTATTTCTGTGCAAGCGGTCTTAAACTCTATTGACACAAATCAGGAAGATGCCCCAGCTCCTCTGTTCTGCTCAAGCACACACACCCCTTACCTTCCACGTGACCTGGATGCTCTGGGAGGTCATGGGCTGCAAGGTGACATCCATGGGGGGACCATCAGGAGCTGTAAAAGGAGAGGGTCATAAATCAAAAGGAGAGGCTCAAACAGGAAGTAAGGAGCGGTGCTCAGAGCTTGGCCTGTCTTGGCTCTCACCCGGCAGCCAGCCGCTGTGCCCCAAACAGTGGGATTCTCTCTCACAACCTGTCTTGGGAACCATCATAGCGGGGCCTCCGAGCAGTCCTTCCTCCTCCTTCTCCTCTTTTGATCTAGGCCTCTGCCACTGGACAGTGCCAAATGCTTCAGCCATTCTTTGGCTCAGTATGGCCAGTCACAGGAATTGTTCTTGCCTCACCCCGGCCTGGGATGGGGCTTAGGATGGGACGGGGAAGAGACTCAATGGCAAAGGCCAGAGGGGCTGAAGGAGGAAGAAGGCCTGCTTGCCCTTCAGCCATGGCCCAACATCTTCCCCAGAGGAAGTCTGAACAGCCCAGATTCACAGGGGCTTAGGTTGCAACTGAAGAGCAGAAAAGGCCAGAGGGAGCCGTGAGGCATCTGAAGGACTCTCAGGGCAACACTGTCTGCTACCATCAGAAGGACTCCAGACCTCAACACTCATGCCAAAACAATGGTGCACACCTTTAAAATGCTACAAAGCCCTCCTTGCTCCGCTATTCCCATAACTAGACCAACACAAGCAGCTTTCCTGCCTGCCATGGAAGGGCCAGCTCTTCTCTTGGGACATGTCTAGAACTCTCTTGGGGAGAAAAATGACACTGAATGCCCTTGATTTAGGGAGAGATGTACGGGCCAGCTAAAGATGTAGGTGCCGTTACAGTCTAACTCAGGCTACTCAGATGTCCAGACAATCTGCCTGCCAAGGCCATGGCTCCTTCCAGTTCATTCAGGGCCCATGCTAGCATTCAAGGCCACCTGGGGAAAGCTGCTCTCCTAATGCAAGTCCTCCATAGGACTCTGCAATTCCTGCCTAATTATCTAGCTTACATCTTGTTTGTTACCCAAATCTTCCTGTTTAGGGTGGAGTGTGTGTGTGTGTGTGTGTGTGTGTGTGTGTGTGTGTGTGTGTGTGTGTGTGTGTGTGTGTGCGCGCGCGCGCGCGCGCATGCGCGTGTGCAAACACACTTTGCAAACATGAGGGCCCCCTGCGGGAGGGAGCTCTGGGGGACCAACCAAGCACCTGCTTCCTCTGTGCTGATGGTCAACTCCTTGCTGGGCTCACTGCGTCCAATCTTGTTGAAGGAGTACATGCGGATGCTGTAGACAGAGGCCGGGTGGAGATCCACAATGTTGGCCTGGTTGATGGTCGGGGAAATGTTGCGGGTCGACTGCTT